AGCTCAGGGGCACAGTGCCTGCCTTGCAAGTGCGAGGTCATGAGTTTGATTCCCGGTACCACCACACACACACACACACACACACACACACACACAAAATGATAGGCTGAGGGCTCCCAGCTTCTCTCCCCGGGCACTGGCACTCATCTGGGATCAGATCTGTGGGTTCATCTGCTCCTCTGCTGCTGGATGTGATGCCCCATGCCTGCAATCTCAGCTGCTTGGGCAGCTGAGACAGGAAGATCACAAACTTGGGTCCAGCTTGGGCAACTTGGTGAGACTTTGCCTCAAAATACAAAAGAAAAGGGCTGTGATATAGCTCAGAAGTGGAGTGCATGAGGCCCTGGGTTTGAACCTTAGTACTGTACACACTTTCACACGTGCAGACACACACACTCATATTCACACACAAAGAATGAACTGTGATCTTAAAAGAATAGAAAGCGAATTTCAGAGTTCCAGATTAAGTGAAAAATCCAGTTTCTGTTGCTTTGGTTTCTGACTTAGTGCCATAAAACTGATACAGACTGGAGGGATACAGAAGCTGTGAGAGCAGAATCAGCTGTGCGTGGAGAGTGACTGGTCTTGAAAGAAGGATGGAGTTAGTGAATGGGGAGAGGCATGAAAGGCACCGTGTGTGCGCGTGCGCATACACGCGCATGGGGCAAGGCAGGAGAGGTCTCAGTGAGCAAGGGTCTGGAACTGAGACAGTGAGTGGTGTAAGTAAGGGGAGCAGGGAGCCCCTGAGAAGTACCAGAGGACACACAGCGAGCTATGAATTAAGGAGTCTCCGGCAATATTTGGACAGTTCTAGCTTCCTTGCAACAGGATGGCAGCCTGCATGTGCCTCTGTGGCTGACACAAGCCTCAGCAGGAGGTTTCAGGCCCCCCAGTCTGTGGGCAATACGGACACCTTGTGGTGTAATAAGGAAGGGGCAGGACAGACACGACAAAGAAGACCCAGGGGTGGCCCCCGAAAGGCACCTGAAATGCATCTACCAGTGAAGGTGGGAGGACCTTGCATGACAGAGAAAGAAGGCAGAAGGCTCCAAATGGCACTGCTCCCTTGGAGCCCGGGAGAAGGTCCTGTGCAGGGAGAATGAACAGAGCCACTCTCCGTTTTTGGGAAGCAGCTCTGCCACGTGTGCCCCTGGAAGGCTCCCTGGGTGCTGCTGCTGCAGGTTGGGCACCTCGGATAGCCAGAGAGGCAGGTGTGGCATCCTGAGGCAGATATGGCTGCAACACCTGCTGCTGCTGTCTAGAACCTTCACCCTGGCCAGGCCAGAATTTGCACACTGCTCTTATCAGAGCAGATGGGGTGATAATTCATGAGCCCCACAACCCTCTGTGTGATCCCATCTGCGATAAGCTTTGTGATACTTGGTTCTAGATGGTGTTAGAGTGGGGTGGGCAAGAGTTTCTGAAAATGCCTTGAGTGGCCTGACTGCCACTCATGTGAGTTCAGCCTCAAGGGAGGACTTTGCAGGCCAGCTGCGTGCACGTTCCTCTGTCCATCCCATGACTGCCAGGGACTTTAAAAGATGCTTTTATCCTTTACCCTAAGAAAGTTTGCAACATACCCAACCAACCTTTGGGTATCTATCTACTTTTATGAAAATCAGTAGGAGATATTTATCATCTATCTATCTATCTGTCTGTCTGTCTCTCTATCATCTATCTATCTATCTATCTATCTATATGGAGAGGAGGTGGAATACCCACTTCACAAACATATTTGCAGTCCTATGTCCATTGCAGCATTAGTCAAAATAGCCAAGGTGTGAAAGCAATACACTGATGGGTAAATGGATAAAGAAATTGTGATCATCCATCCAACTATCCATCCACCCATTCGTCCATCCATCCATCCATCCATCCATCCATCCATCCATCCATCTACCCCATCCATAATGGGATAATAGCTTTAAAAAGAAGGAAATTCTGCTGTTTGCTGCAATGTGAATGTATCTAGAGAATATTTTACTCAATTAGGAAAGCAGATAGAAGCCAGGTGTGGTGGTGTCTGCCTGCAATTGAAGCTACTTGGGATGAAAAGGTAGGAGAATGATAAGTTCCAGGCCAGCCTGGCAGGTTAGAGAAATCATGTCTTAAAGTAAAAAATAAAAAGGGAGTGTAGCACTTCTGGGTTCAATCTCCACTAGTGAAAAAAAAAAAGAAAAGAAAAACAGATAACCAAAAAAATATTTCCTGGTCACACGTGGAATATAAGAACTCAGAACACAAAGAAAGAGAAGGAAGCAGTGGCCACCCCAGAGAGAGGAAATGGGGACACATAGGTCAAGAATACAAGGTAGCAAACATGTAGCACACACAAGTCTAGAGAGCTAATGCTCAAAACCAGGGTGAATGTTAGTGAAATAGTATTGTATTAGAACCTGGGCAAGTGAGTAGATTTTGGTTGCTCTTGTTAGACACACAAAGTACTTGTGTAAATGAAAGATATGTTAAAGCTTGGTAACCATCTTACTATCTGTATCCCATAACATCAAGTTGTAAATTTCAAATATACACACACATCTGAAAAGAAATCTACTCCCTTTTTACCTATTGCACCTACTGGGAGACCATAAGGCTGGAGGAGAAGCTGCCACTAGATGGCGCCATAGCAACCTTCGTGCGTGCAGTCCGTGCTTCCGAAGTAGCTGGGCAGAGGGTGGAGTGCAGCATGTATTTCTACTAAATATCTTGCACAATATTATCCTTCCCTTCTAGGGATTTTGATACGAACTTCCCCACATAAGCCAGTGGATGCCATGTTGCGGCTTTGCATCAGCAGGTGTGGATCAACCCACCCCATCCATGTTTCTGGAAAGGATGTGTCTGCCACTTTCCTTGCGGCTGTGTCAAAATATCCAACACCCGCAACTTAAAGAGGGAGGGGTTTATCTTGGTTCACGTTTAGAGAAGCCTGGTTACGTGCTTGGTGCGTGGTGGAAGCCCTGGGCGGAGGAAAGCTGCTCATCTCAGGTGAACAGGAGGCAGGGAGGGAAGAGCAGAGCCCGGGAGGGAGACTCCCTTCCAGGGTAAGCTCCGGGGACCACCTTTTCCAGGGGACCAACTCCGCACAGCAAGCCAGCTACAGCCCACGGTCCAGTCACGTTCCGACCCCCGCCTCTGAGAGCAAGCGGCTTGGGGGCATCCAGAAATAAGCCACAGGGGATTTAACAACGTCACCTGGGGCAGCTTCCCTCAAGGGGACAGGTGCTCATTCTTTCCTTGACCTAGCCCAGTGCTTTATTGCCGCCAATGTCATAATTTGGGCCGGATATTAGCTTTCTCTGGGCTTTGGGGGCAAGTAGGACATCTGACTCAGGAGGAAATGTCCCACTGGCCCTTGGATGGCGGATGTTCAGTAAGGGTAGACTGCTTCTCCCATGCCTGTAGGGAAGAAGGACTGCTGGTGACTTTCTACAGGAGATCAGCACACCTGCCCCTCATGCATCCCTCAGAGGCCCCTCATGCACCCGCTTCTTTAGGACACTGGGAAACACATTGCAGAAGGCAACACTTACCTCTCTGGAAAGCTTTGTGGTGTTGTCTGCTACAAGGCAGGCATGGTGGAGAAAGATACGGCCACTGAACTGGGCTGTCTGATTTCAACGGATTCCCATCGAGCAGAGACCAAATGTTATAACTTCACCTCCACCTGCGGAAAGGGGATTGCATTTACCATAAAAAAGAACAAAAACAAAACGGACACAGTGGTGATCAAACTGTTTGGAAATCTAAGGACCTTCTGTAGAACTGATTTATCGCTGTGCATTGGATAAATGAAGAGTGATGGCTTACTAAAATGTTCGAAGACCAAAACTCCAGTTGACTTACCTCTAACCCACTGTCCAGCACTGAGCCATTTTCAGACTGGAGTGTCTTGACTGGAAGGGGATGGATGATCCGTGCAGATTTTAGTGAACATCTTTCCCCCCTGCCCCTCAATGAGCTGTGTGGAAAACGGCCATAACATAAGGGACAGGGACTATGGACTATGGGCTCAACAGCATGGACTTCACCTGAGCAAAGTGGTGTTTTGGTGGCTCCTAAGAAGGCCAAACGCCTAATTCGCCCACTAAATTAAAGCCATTGTTATGCACATTCCCTAAAGAGCCCATGCAGGCCCTAGGGAGAGACTGATTATGTTACAACCCTTCTATTAGGGAGGAAAAGTTTTCCTTAACCGCAGGGAACATGTAATCTGAGCACAGATTGGCTCTTCTGCCAGAACCACCATCTGTGATTACAAAATATAGCACACTCTAAACACCATTGCTGCTCTTCCTCCTC